TCAGCCCCGATAAAACGGTGCAAAACGTTTTTTAAACGGAAACGGTGGTGCGTTGAACACCCTGTTCTGAAGGATCAAGAGTTGCAACTATGGCAGCTGAGAAGGCCATTCTTTGTGTTAGTTTTGAAGAATTTTCGGAGCCTGATGAAATCGGTATAAATGCGTGTTTAATACTGCAAAATACGCTCGATGGTACAGTCACTGCCCTTGCCCTCCAGAATAAAACAGAACATCCCAATCAAATGAAGGGATTTGTGGAAACTGTGGTTCCTAATTATTGTGATCCAACATTTGCCTCGCATTTCAGGATGAAAAGACAAACATTTCAGGTGAAGGATAATCTACTTCTTACCTCCGAGACTGTGTTATGATCTATATGACCTTATTATTTTTATTGTGAGTATTAGGCTTATCATTATTGCTGATCACTGTTGTTGTGCTATGATATTGTAATATTTACCATTATACATGTTGCTGCTGATTGGGCTGACATGTTTGACACACCCACCAAACAAGAGAAAACGCATCTCAAACCCCGTTGCACACCGTTTCCAGGACACATGTCGTTCAAACCGGAAACCGTAGCAAAACGGTGCACACCGGTTTGAGCTTGAACTTGCCCCAGGAGCGCACAAGCGTTGAGAAGCCAAAGGGTGACAGCACAGTTCAAGCGCAGTTTGTGCATCCTGACTGTGCAGTCATCCTTTGGCTACCCAGTGCGTGATCCTGATCTCGTGGCTGCGGAGCTGCTTGGAAACAAACTGCGGCGTGTCGAGTTACCGCGCGGGGCGACAGTATCGCGTTGCGCGCGCGGGGGAGACTGAGTATCGACGCGTGACCGATCGCTATCATAATCACACTTCCCCTCTTATCGCCTCAACTTGCTGAATAAAACATACCGCTTTCCTGCCAAGAGCAGTCACCCCGAGCACACTTATTCAAGTTCATCTCACACTCCGAGAAAGCAGAAAAAATTAGAAAGATGGATAAATCTTGATATAAAACACCTTCTGAAAACTAATGTGTGTCATTTCAAGAATTATTCCTATAAAATGAGACTTTCAGAAATATGCTCCGGTCTGCCTCGAGAACCTTATTAATTATAACAATGGCATGAAAAGGTTCCCAAAATGTCCATCAGGTGTGGTGTTATATGCAAATTTCAGTGTTGTTATATTTTTCATATTCATTCATGAGTTATTCTTTATGATTCTTTCTTTTATTGCTGCTTCACATTACACACTTATAACACATATACTCAGTGTTGGGGAAAGTTACTTTTAAAAGTAATGCATTACAATATTGCGTTACTCCCAACACTGCATATACTCAAGTATTATTCATTTATTCTCTTTATTTCCATTTATACTCATATTCCATTGACGTAATATATATATTTTCTTCATTTGACAAATAAGAACGTACATCTTGTTACGCTCAAGTGATGTTTGGATAGGATGTTGGACACTTATTCTCTGCAAAAAAATATTTTTATATGCAAGGATGTTTGCTAAATTTGTCTTCTGTCTTTTGAGGTACTAAGTGTTCTTTTCCAAGAACTGATATTTGAATTTGTAGAGTGATATTTGAACATTGCCAAGATCTGCTGTTTCTGCTCAAAGGGTGTAAAACCACAGCCTCACCTGTATTTGTATACGATCATGGCAGCTCATTGTCATGTCAACGTGACCTGAGCTTTGAACTTCAAGTTACTTTAGGTGGAGGAAAACATTTGGCAAGATGTAGATAGTGACACAATGGATAAACTCGTTTGAGGTTTATCGATCATCAGACATAAACATCTTGTGATGTTGTAAGAGGATGTACAGTATGTCTTTAGCAGGCTATATATATTATTCCAATTGGCTTTTCAGACAGCTTCTTTTCTTCTGCTCATATCACATGCTCCAGAGGCCTTTGTCTTTTGACTTCTGAAGATTATTATACTTAGGTTAGAGTAGCCTACTCTCTTAGAGATTTTAAGTAGAAGTTACGCAGTTTGAACTTTGTAATCATTTTTCTTTTTAATTTTAATATTTAATTTCTGTGTTATCATTTATGATTTTGTCTTAAATAAATTATGATTTCATCTGAAAGACTTCGACTGCCTGGATTTTACTGCATCAAGGTGTTGAATGGTTTGTTTGGTGGGTTGTTAATGGGATTTTCAATGTGTTTTCTTTGAAACATTTCCATTACAGAAGCGAAATGAAGATACGCAGATTGAAAATGGCTTGTTTTTCATGTGAGTTTATATATTATCCAGTAAACTGAGTCATATAATGATGGGAATATGAAAATGTACTGAATATTAGGAATGACCCTGGAGTCTAGAAGTGCTTCAGTGGGTTTCATGGATGTAGGCCACTCATTAAAGCAGCACTATGTAACTTTTTCTATGTTCAAAATTTGCCAAATGTATATGAGCGAGTACATCATGAATTCATCTTCCAAACCGCGTTTTTGTCTTATTCTGAATCACTACGGTACACTTATAATAAGTACTTCTATTTGGACTAGTGTAGCCTGGTCGGGTCGTCACCGCTGCGGAGTAACACATACCTGCGTGAATCGCCATAGACATAAACTTAGAGAAGTAGCTCCGGTTGGAATGTTCTTCCGCGGGATGTGTGCAGTTCTGTTTAGTAACCGCTAGAGCGCCAAAAGTTACATAGTGCTGCTTTAAGCAGTAATGTAACAACAAAAGTAAATATGCCATGAACAATTTCAGGTCACATTTCACTCACAGATATTTGATAAAGGCTTTATCCAATTTCTGGAAATGTAGAAGTCCCAACATCCTTAAAATGTAGGCCCTAGCTATCAAAAGCAAATGTATGTGGCATTTTTAATGTAAATAGAACACTTTTCAAATGTAACATTTCATAAAAGCTTAATTTCGAGTGATAAAGCAAGGAGTAACAGAACTAATATGCCTAACTATATTTCATGTTCAAATATATATATATATGTTCAAATTATGCATCTATAACATAGAGCCATGTAAATATGACTTTCAAATAAAAAGTCCATTCCATTCTGTATTTTGCTGTGTTATTCACATTTTCATTAACAAGCCAGTTTTTAACACTGTAAGAGTGTTTGTAATATTAATAACATTTGTAAATGTATAACATGGTTTTATACACTGACAATTCTCCAACATTTTGGATATTTTTCCAAATATATATATATATATATATATATATATCTGTACACCTGTGGTTACTCTACACAAACAGCAAGTTAAATTTGAGGAGAACTGACCTCACACATCCACTAAATATCATCAAAAACCGATTTTTGATTAAGTGTAACTGGGGAAAAAAAGCTCAAAAATTATCTTAGTTCTGAGCACTATTTGTTAGCAAATTTGTAAAAAAAAAAAAAAAAAAAAAAATTTTCCTTTTATTTTTTGTTTAACCCATTGGGGGCAGACTCACTGAATTATGTCCCGTTTAACATAAAAGCTTTAGAACAAGTGAGAGAACTAAAATTAGTAAGCATGCAGTGCCAGATTAATATGGTTTAATTCACATCTTTTTCTGGAGTAATAATGAGGGTCTGTTTTTTAACTGGACGATCAATAATTTGACTTAAACTGTGCAAAGTTATAGAAGTCACAATGAATCAAGTCATAAAGAAGACAAAAGTTCATTTTTTAGGCGAGTGCCATAGGTGGGTTGTTCAGGATATTACATTATCCATTGTTTTATGGGATTATTTCTGTGTACACTAATGTAGCTGTCAAGAAAGTGGAGAAAATGTTTTTACTAATAACAGACACTAATATGCAGTAAGGTCAGGAACGTTATTTTTTTTTCCTGCCAAGTAAGGATTAAGTATTCACTGCTGAGTGATGAGTATTTAATATTTATGTTTTAGACGGTACATATCATATTGTATAAACAAACCAAGGTCCAGTAGACAATTCCCCACAAAATGATTCGCTGTTGAAAAAAGGACATCTCAAACATGACCAAACCACTCCAGACTTGAGCTTATAAATCACAGCAGTTCACGATAAGATCTCAGGCTGAAGCATCACCTGTAAGTCAGGACTCTAGTATTCAGAGCTTCAGGCAAACCTACACGCAGCATCCAGGTGCAGCGGCCCAGGGAAAAACTCCACACGGCAGTATGTGCCTCTCACTGCTGGACAGCAGGAACTGGAGGAGTTTGAACTCAGTTCACGAGTCTGGGAAATTGTCATGAACTGATTGTAAATGGTACACATGAACACACTGTAAATGGTACTGTAATCCATTTTCAAGTGTTTCTTTACCATTCAATCATTGATCATACTTCAGCAGCTTTTGTGAATCTGTACTCAAAACTTAATTTTTAAAAGCGTACAGGCTCCAAGATAAGTTTATGGGATTTTTTTCACCCATTTACTGCTGACCAGGAATAAATTCAAGATGCTTCAAAAAGTAAAACTGTATCATTTAAGGTGTCATTCATGTCCACACGGTGTGGTAGAAATTATGAGCTTAAGTGTAATACTTACAATATCATAAAAGTAATATTATGAAATATTATTACAATTTTTTTTGCTTTTAAATATATTTTAAAATTGTATTTATTCCTGTTGGCAAAGCCGAATTTTCAGCAGCCATTACTCCAGTTTCACTAATATACGTATTTGATTTTGAGTGTTTTTTTATTTTTTTGGACATTTTTTATTGAAAACCTAATACCTTTGTTTACACTATGGTACATTTTTCGGGATATTTTGATGAATATAAGGCTAAAAAAACAGCATTTATTTGAAATATCATTTTTTGTAACATTTATATCTTTACTTTGATGAATTTAATGCATCCTGACTGAGTAAAAGTATTAATTTCTTAAAAAAAAAAAAGTTAAAATCCTTCCAAAAAAAAAAAAACGGACCCCAAACTTTTGAGCAGTGTATATTTTTTTTAATTGATCCGAGCAATAAACATCATGATGATTGCCTAATCAAACAGTGATAAAAGTAATAAATCTAAATATTTTAATCTAACCCTTATTAACAATTGATATAATTTAACGAAGCAGATTCCATCAGTTTACATTTGTTTTTATCCAGCTTTGTATTAAAACACATTAAAATAAATGAATAAATATGATACCAGTGGATCACAATAACCCAAACTGATACAGTGTTAAATTTTCACCGTTCCACTGAATATTTAAGTGATTTCCTGAGACTGTCCTCTCAGGTCAAGTCCTGAGATAACCATTTTGTCCATATATACTTTTAAAACAATTAAATCTAGATTTTTTTTTTTACCATGGTAAACCCCATTCAGAAAGCCTATTCTAATTTTTCAAAACATACATTTCTGTAATTTTCAAAAACATCAAATCAGTTTTAACAAAAAGGAATGGTTTAAAATGTCTTTTAGTACGAGGGGTCAGCGGAGCCCACAGTGGAGGGCAGGGGTGTGAAGTGACAGTCAGCACATCTGGTCACATTAATAATGCAGAGCGCTTTAAACGGCAGTTTGTCACTTATTGAGTGCTGCCTGCTGAAATCTACACTGACACCCAAGCTGCTGCCAAGGGACTCTACCAAATGAGTCAGATGAAGGGAGGGGGACAGAGAGGATGAGAGGGGCAGCAGACAGTGAGAGGGGAGGAAAGAGGACAAACGGCAACGTGAAACTTTTGTCTGAGGAGCACTCTTTCTGCTTTGTCTGTTAATGGTTAATTTCTGATAGAATCATACAATAGATTTAGAGGTTTGAATATCCAAACGTTTATTTAGAAAAAAAGCACATTTTTATACAACTTAAACAAAAAAGGTTCAAATGGCATCTTCTTTGCATCTTTTCTTTGACCAGACAATCTCTCAAAATGATGCTAAAGATTTCCCATCAAAATACAATTGTTGCATATGCACTGTTCCTTGAGTGCAAAAGACTTAATCTGCTCAAAGGTCTAATTAACACTTTAACACGGGCTGGTAAGTCAATGAGAGTTGAGCTCACAGGTGAGCTGGTGTATGAGTGTCCAGGAGATCACCTGTACTTGAACAGATGCGTTACACGTCAGGTTTATTTCCCGGTGATGAGTGGGTTTCTCAGCACCACGATGACTGAATCGCCTCTCAGGAACATCTTTGAGATGTACCGATCCTTGTTGACTGGCTTTGACTTCTTCTTGCCCTTGCCACTTTTGGGCACCTCCGTCCACATTTCTTTCACATTCTCTAGAACCATGTTACAATGCCTAAAAATCCAGAGAAAAGAGACCGTGAGGATCTAAATTATGAAAACCTCTTTTTTTTGTTTACCACTTGTATCGAAATATGATGTGACCCAATTCATTTCATTTCAAGCAAAATGAAAAGCATGTGTGTCTTGAGATAAATCTGAATTGATTTCCTATCTGTCAGAAAGAGGTGATGCAGATCATAAATCTATTAAATAGAAGAATAATTGCAGCATAAAGCTTCGAATCAGACTACCTGCACAATCAGCGTTGTAAAAAAAAAAGTGTGTATGTGACATTTCAGTCCTGTGCTGCGACCGCACATGCTTAGCGGTAAAAAAAAAACTTCAGAAAATAAGTATGATATATGCAAGCATCAGTATAATGTTCGAAACACCACCCATGCGGCTGAGAACGGCGTTTGGCTGAACATGTAAATATGTGCCGCACGCTTTTACTCTCAATAACAAAATAAACACACAACAAAAATGACAGCGGTGAGAAAACAGCAGTTCAGAAAGCATCTGATCATATATGTGAATATGTTTCCACTAGCTCTGCAATAGGATCTTTGTATTCAATTGTTTTAAAGCAAGCAGCTTTACAGTATTAAACATGAAAAACTGTTTCATTTCAGCTTTCATTTATTACAACTTCAATTTCAACTATAAAGCGGCTCCAGTGTATTCATGTCTTACTCGCCTGACTTCAAGAGACTGAACAAATGAAATGAGAAGATCGTCACGTCAAAGGCAGAGCCCCAGAGCACACCTACTTATTATGTAATGGCCATTGACCAATGATAGTTTGAAGGTGTTTACCAGCCGAAGCTTTTGAACTCCTGAAACAAACTCCAAATGAACATCATTTTGAGCTGATTTTTGTTCAGAATGCCATTACACTAGTTCGATCTTTGATCACTTTAAATATAATGTTGCACCAAAGACTTTTGAACTCAAATTTACTCCAAACACAAATGTATTGTAATTTTAAATCTTTACCAAACATTGCCACTATCCTTCAAACCACTAGGTTTTACACATTCGTCGCAAGACAAAAATTTAAATATAATAAAATTTAGTATGATCACTGTTTCTTTTATATATTTTAATAAGTACAGGTCAGAATAAGTATGTTAGTATGTAATATGTATGCAAGTAATAAGCAAAGCACGTTTTATTTTTACATAAATATATCTGTTATGCTGGATAACAATGGAACATTATTTCACCCATATTTTGCCATTATATTTTCACACAAGTTATTTGAAACATTCAAGTAGACACTTTACTTGCATTTAATATGCTTTCTATGTATAGAACGAATTTGACACGGGCACCAAAATGGGACATCTCGTCTTTGACCCATACACATATTTCATCTTATACACTAATTATAATGCAATTTTCTCTGTACAACAACGCAGATACACATATATACAGCTGGCTAATGAGAGGTCTGGATAAAAGGTGTTTATTGTGTTTGAACTGATTTTGAGGATGGCACATTTGGCGTTTCTCGGGGATCTTGCTGCACATATCTCAGGCAAGAGCATGTCATATGTTTAGGGCTGGGTATCGAGTTCGATACTTTTTAGGCACCGACCGAATTGCCTCGATACCATCGAGTATCGAAAAACGTCTCGTCGTTCGGTACCAAATTTCGATACCTAAGGGGTTAATCTCATCAGCGTCAGTGAGCCAATAAGCCTGCAGCACTAGATGGTGTGTTCGACTAGAAGAGGTGCGACGCAGATCGATCCTCCGTGAGAGCGATTCGAAAGCGCACGGAGCAGTCTGCTCTCTTCAGCTCTCATGGTACTGTAATACACCGATTGGTCTGCACTGCACTGTCGGTCCGCGTCAAGTCGAACACACCTACTAGTTTACACCAGTTACACTCAGAGATGTGGCGCACACGTAAGGCTGTAGTGCGAATGCGTCCCAGCCCCCTTAGATGTAAGGCTACATTTACACTGGTGCGTTTATGTTTTAAAATGAAAACGATCCTCGTCATACTGGCGTTTCCACTGCGTTTCAAGCTGGCTTTCCACCATCTCCGAGAAACCACCATCGAGTGTTTGTAATAACTTCCGATTAACGTCTAATGTGTGTTTTGGCTATGTAATGTTACTGAAATTAAATGTTATTACCTCTGACTCGGAGCAGCGATCATGGAAGAGAGAGCACAGGCAGACAGCGCTGGAAGCTGCTATAGATATTGTAATCTTGTTAAAATTGATTTCATAAAATTGGTATTAAAAAAAAGTATCGTTCAGGAACCGGTATCGAAGTCAAGGTATCGGTATCGATATCGAAAATTTTTGAACGATACCCAGCCCTGCATATGTTTGCTAAAAATGATGCTAAAAGTAAAAGGCTGTAAAGTAAAGATATGGAACACCCTTACATGAAGATGGTTTGGGAATGTTTTATGCACACGGCCGCTCATTTAGAACACTCATTAACATTAGAACAAGGCTAAGAACAAATGTGTGTGTGTTATGTTGTGAATTAGGCTGAAGATTTCTCCTGTGCATACAAATATAAAATAATCCACACAATTATTAGTAAATAAGACCCACTGTCTTGGCATAAAAGTTTTTTGCGTTCTAATATTTGTATCGGATGCGATCGGCTCAACAGAAATCTGTGAAAGTAAATAAAAACAGTGTGTAGTCACTGAGAACATTATAGTTCATAAATCAAACGCATCAGGTACCTGTCGAATGCTTTGACTCTGCCCAATAGCTTCTTATTGTTGCGGCAGTTGATAAGAACCTGTGTGTTGTTCTTCACAGACTGGGTGAGTACTGAAAGTGGACCGGTGTTAAACTCTTCCTCCTCTCGCTTTTGGAGCTCCTCTGGAGTCATCTCAGATTTGGGCTTGTTTAACAAACTCCTAATGAGGACAATAAGGAATTTCAGGAGTTAGAATGTCTGGATAAAGAGCTGAGATAAATATCACAGTTTACAGTACATATACACTGCCGTTCAAAAGTTTGGGATCAGTGAGGTTTTGGCGCTTTTCCACTGCATGGTACGGCACGGTACGGCTTGGTATCATGGATTGGCCGGAGAGAATCGTCACTACCTGCGTCACTGAACTTGCGACACAAACACAACAGAACCGCTAGATTTAAATCAGCACAGCCAGCGAAGGATCGAACGCAACTGTTTGGAACGAGCGCACCTTTTTTTTAACAACCAAAAAGTGTTGTTGTCTGTTGCAGAAGAACAGACGTTCCTCTCGTTGATAGCAGAGGAGCGGATCCAGCGAGAGCTTGATGGGGCGACGCGGAATGAAAACGTTTTTTTTTAGGAGTCGTGGTAGTAGAGGCGGCGCAACTATAACCACATGTGAATAATCCCGCCCACTCTAAAGCTGTACTGAACTGCAGTGGAAACGCAAACCGCCCAGTGGAAAACCCCCCAAAAGTGAACCGAGCCGTACCGAGCCGAGTCGTACCATGCAGTGGAAAAGCGCCATTTGTTATGTCTTTTTAAGTCTCTTCTGCTCATCATGGCTGCATTTATTTGATCAGAAATACAGAAAAAAACATTAATATTATTGCAATTAAAATAATGGTTTTCTATTTTAATATACTTTAAAATGGCTTTTTGATTTTTAGTTGCACCTCCTCTATCGTTGGTAGAGCACCTCCTCTCAGTAATTTTAATATACTTTAATTTATTTCTGTGAGTCAAAGCTGAATTTTCAGCATCATTACTCCAGTCTTCAGAGTCACATGATCCTTCAGAAATCATTCTAATATGCTGATTTAATATCAATATTGGAAACAGTTTTGCCACTTAATTATTATTTTTTTTAGGATTATTTGATGAATAAAAAGTTAAAAAGAACAGTTTATTCAAAATAGAAATATTTTGTAACAATATACACTACCGTTCAAAAGTTTGGGGTCAGTATTTTTTTTTTAAAGAAATTAATGCTTTTATTCAGCAAGATAATAAATGATAATAAAGACTTATATTGCTAGTAAAGACTTCTATTTTAAATAAACACTGCCCTTTTTAACTTTATTCATCAAATAATCCCAAAAAAGTAACACAGCTTCCAAAAAAAATATTAAGCAGCACAACTGTTTTCATCACTGATAATAAATCAGCATATTAGAATCATTTCTGAAGGATCGTGACACTGAAGACTGGAGTAATGATGCTGACAATTCAGCTTTGACGCACAGAAATAAATTATATTTTAAAGTATATTAAAATAGAAAACCATTATTTTAAATGGTAATAATATTTTACAATATTACTGTTTTTCTGTATTTTTGGTCAAATAACTGCAATCTTGATGAGCAGAAAATAATTCTTTAAAAAAACTTTACAAATCTTACTGATCTCAAACTTTTGAACAGCAGTGTATACAGGTACTAGTTGGAAAATATTTAGCATTCAGTGATTTTTTTTGAAGAATATATGTCAGAAATACCACAAATCTCGAAGCTTTGTTTCATGTTTGAGAAATAGCGATAAACATTAAACACTACAGCAAGTTATTAACAGTATAACGATTCAGACATAAAGTGCACAGAAAGAAACAATGAGAAACACACCCAATAACCGATCAATTGGACAAATGAAAACAACGCTTACAAAACAAACACATAACGATTATATTTACATTTCGCTTAGAGAGGAGAATCCTAATAACCAGTAACGTTACAACAGAAGGTTCATTGTAGCTGCTAACATTAGCATTAGTCTTGCTAAATGACTTCTTCAGCGGTCATCGAACTACGAACTGACTATTTCAGTCCCAGCGGTATCGTTCCAACAGTTTTAATGATATACTGTGCACAGAACCGTGAACTTACATGTTTTATTAGGTTTCGGCTTCTTAACTCTTTTCAGCGAATTGAAATGTGAGCAGCTCCACACAATCGCCTCACGTTTCCACAACGTTGAAGTCACTTCCGGGTCTGCGCCGCCTTGCTCAGTTGAACGTTCCGGTTCCGGTTTTCTCCCGCAAAGTAAATTTATAAACTTGTTTTTAGGTTTTATTACAACTTTATTAGGTAAATTATAATTAATTATAATTTAATTTTAAACTAAATCAAGCATTTGGTATACAGAAATATAAAATACATTATTTTTGCAACAGCAACAATAATAATAGTTCAATAATGTCATCATTATAATAAGGTAATTTTATTTTTCGTACATATACTATTTAATGGCAGGTTGCCATTGTGGCAGATTCCCAGACCAGATATAGTCTGTCCCACTATAAGTTACCATGTGTTCTATATTTCAAATAGGCCTATAAATATAAATATATATATATAAAACTGTAGCTAATAACACATTTATTTAACTATTTAAAATATGGCCAATACATGTAATATATGTATTGTATTTCTTCCAAAGTTTTTAAGTGGAGGATGGATGCATTTTTTTCAGTCCTGGTACCAATAGGCCTACTCATGTGTCTTTTAAAATGCATGTTTAAAAATATTTCATCAAATTCCTTTGTTTTTCCCCTCAATGAGGTGTTTTTATTTATTTATTAATATTTAGTTTCATGTTCTGTGCAGGTGAGTGACTTACAGACCCTCCCTGACACACACACACACACACACACACACACACACACACAC